AAACCTGGGTTTTACTCTTTGGAGAGTCTGCTTCAATAGGTGGCTTGCCTACTTTTTGAAATTGTTTTTACATTTTGTTTTTAATTTGAGATTTCTTTTTGATTGTTATTGGCTACGATTGTTTGCATCTGCTTAGATTACTTTCATACTCCTAGATTTGCTCCTAGGTTTAGGGAACATTTTTCCTATGGAAAATGACATTTAACTGTGGAATATTATTTTTTAACATGCTAGCACACATCCATTGCCCTGGATTGTAGGAGTTGTGGTAGGAAGTGCTTGCCCTCCTGTGTAGTGCTGATTTCTCATGCACATTGCATGGCAGTTCCGGGGTAACCTGCCCCAAGTTCACAGGTCATGTGTCCTTGGAGATAGTCAGTAGGACTGATTCATGTTTAGTAAAGGCCAGCAGCTGTCCCTAAAATTAGAAGGGGAGCCCTGGAGTGCCTTGCAGTGACTCACATTAAGGTGTCTCTGAGCTGGTAGCAGCTGTTGTTCCCTGCCCCTCTATGGACACCGGGTTTCACGCTGCAGTTTCTGCCCGTGGAATCTTAAAGCCAAATCAACCAGATGCATCTGAGTCTTTTGACAATGAATTACATAAATGAGTGTCTACTTCACCAAAAAGTTGTTCCCCAAAGTTTCTTTTGGCACTGTTTCCCAAGTTCTAGCTGCACTGTGGAGCCCAGCCCCGGTGCCAGTGGAGCAGCAAGTTGTGTGCTGGTACCAAGCATGTCACAGCTTCACCAGCCCACACAAACCTGCTATGTGCTGAAGTGACAGCAAACTGCTGAGGCTACAAAAGGCTTGGATGCAGGTAGAAACCCCCTTGGATAATACCACCTGATATTTCCTGCCAGCACAGTTACTTTACATTTTTTCCAGTTTTAGGAATTCAGGCTACCTGCAGGCTTTGTTCTCTTTTACGTTCCTGAACTAATAAGTGCTGAGCTCTTTTATGTTCGAGCATCCAAGGTAGATATTCTGAAGCCTGCCAGATAATGCATGTTACCTGTACTGGCCCAACTTCATTGGATTTGTGCTTCACTGTCCAGTCTCTGAGTTGCAGAGGAAGCTCCTGCTCCTGAGTGTGTAACACCTTCAGAGTCATTTTATTTCTGTGCTTCTGTACCTGTTCTTACCTCGTGACCCTTCTCATTTCCATCTTTTGAATTGCTTTTTGCCAAGTTTGTCTTATTCAAGCCTTCAGAGTCTTTCTTTCACTGACTTGTTTAGTTCAAGGGCTGAATAGTCTCAAGTTTTCATGAGCTGAAGGGAGAGGGGGAGGTGAGTGTGTTGCATCTGTCCCAGGTCAGGTTTGGTGTGTTAATTCCTTCCCAAAGGCTACAGTTTTGCCAAGAGTGAATGAGTGAAAACCAGGCTTTTCTGGTGTGCTGGTTGACAGCACCGTGCAGACAACAGAGTTCTTTGTGAGGTTGAGCTGTGCCTCTGACTCCCCACGCTGGCTGGACTGTAATTTCTGTGGTGGATTAGTGTCATGTTCCTCTGTCTCAGAGTCATCTCCCCTCAGCGCAGCTCACTGTCAGGTATTGGGTCTGAGTGCATCATGGGTTTTTAATACACTTTCTCTCTTAAGAAGTTAAGAAACCAAGGCTTAGAAAAATTGGAAAAAAAAAAAAAAGTTTGTATAGCTGTGTGTCTGGTTTATGTACAGGTCTGGGAAAAGTATTTGTGCAACTTTCCTAAGAAAGATTGCAATGGAAAGGGGAAGACTGAATAACAAAAAAACCCACATGCTGAAGTAATTAAACTCAAGAATTGCAAAAAGATTACTGTGTTTCTTGTACATTCTTTGTGTGTGTTCCTGTCTGTGCCAATATTTCCCAAACCTGTTTACTGATTTTTCCAGAATTAAGACTTTTCATGCACCTGGGGTGTGGTCTCATGATGCAGCTGCTGCTGGTTCAGGACTAACTAGGGTGATGAGGAAAGTCTAGTGTCTGTTTCCAGAGCGTGGGAGAACAGCACCTGGGACTGGTTTTTCAAAAGAGTTGATGTGAAAGCTCAAAATACCATGTATACTGAAAAATACACCAGATGTAGTGCACATGTTCTCCATAGACCCCAGTAGGAAAGGCCCTCAGTTCCATAAGGTGTGGATTAAAATACACACTGGAGATAACAGAAGGAAATGGAACAGCCCAGATCATCTGTAGCATCAGGCAGACCCCAGATCTGGCACCCCTGTGCAGACCCTGCCCAGGGTAACTGGCACCACAAGCATTACAGCTTTTGTGGGATTTTTGTAGAAGTAAGGAACTGTTGATCATGTAGAAAGGAAGGATCTTTCTACAGAAGATGCTGCTCTTCAGGATAAGGACGAGGACACGGCAGTGGAGTTGGCATGTGGAGCTATGGACAGACTGTGACAAGCTGGCTGAATCTGCAGCCCAGTGCACCTCCTGCCCAGCCTGTGCCCAAGGGCCAGTGGCCAGGCACCGAGTCAGCAGCCCCCATGTGCCAGCCTGGGTGGGGGCACTGTCACCAGTTTGTCACCCCTGACCGCAGGGCCTCGCTGTAGCAGCAGCTTCCTTCCTTCAGCATCAGTGCACATGGCTGCTGCCTGCCTCCTCAGCCTTATCACTCTGTGTCTGGGGAGGAAAGATTGCTCTCCCTTATCATTTATGTGCAAGGAATCCACAGAACGCTCCCAGGCACAGCAAGTGCAGACTGAGAGAGTGCCAAATTCCTCTTGCAAGCTCCTTTCAGATGTACTTTTGCACCGTTCCAGCCCAGCCCTGCCCTCCCCACACCAACCGTGGCAGCCTTGCCATCAGTTCATATCTCCTGTGTGCTTACTAACAGCTTTCCAGAATACAAGAAAAACTGATTTTGCTCTGTTTCTTCTGGGCTATGTGATGCCAACTCATCCATCCATGCTCAGAATGTTTTGCTGTCTCCTAAAACAAGATTCTTGTTTTGAAAAGCAGCATGATGGTATCACAGATGCCCAAAGCAGAAGCAAGGGGTTGCTGCCACAGTCACCTTAGCTAAGGTGCCTGGCACTGCAGTTTATAAAGGATAAAGCTTATCCAGCCACTGTTCCCCCCAGCCAACAGGGTAAATGTAAATACATGAAAAGTACCTACACACCTTTTTTAGTCACACAGTTGGAGTTTCAGCTTCCTGGTTGGTTCCTGTTGTGTTTTCACACGCAGCCACTCGCTCACTCTCCCATCAGTGGGATTGTGGAGAGAATTGGAAAGGCTGGAAAACTCTTGGGTTGAGATAAAGACACATTAATTGTGAAAGCAAAAGCAGGCACACAAACAAGGAAAAACAAAGGATTCATCCATTGCTTCCCAGGGACAGGCAGGTGTTCAGCCACCTCCAGGAGAGCAGAGCCCATCATGGGTAATGGTGACTTGGGAATGAACGCCATCACTCCAAATCTCCCTCCTCCTCCTTCCCCCCAGCTTTCTACACTGAGTGTGATGTCATGTGGCAGGGTCAGTTGGGGTCACCTGTCCTTGCTGTGTCCCCTCTCCATCTCCCCTGTACCCCCAGCCCCCTCACCAGCGTGGCCTTGGCTCCATGCAAACACTGATCAGCAATAACAAAAACATCTCTATATTGTCAACCTTGTGCTCAGCACAAATGCAAACCTAACCCCATATTGGCCACTGTGAAGACAATTCTACCCCAGCCAAACCACTGTCTTCTACTTAGTTCCAGACAACATAGGCTTCTACCCTCCTCCAGCAAGCTCTGTTCCCTGCAAAGGAGTTCCAATGATTTGACCTTACTTAACGTGGCCTTTTCCTTCATAAAACCAAGAAGTGCCTGAACACTGCAGCCCACAGCAGCTTTTGCTGCTTCTCCCTGTGCCAGTGGCTGCAGGCTGGAGTGGCATCTCATGGGAAATTTCTGATGGAGGAACACAGGTCCACAAGGGAGGATCCCGCTGTGCCACTGCAGAAACAAACCGTGTCTCACTGGCACTACAGGAGGGCTGTGTCCACACCAGGGACTGGGATTTGTTTGGCTGCATTGCATTGGTCTGATTGCTTGTATTTGAGGACAGGATGTTGAATTTGAGTGTAACAACAGCAAAAGCTCATTTCAGTTCAGCTGGATGCAAGGAAGCAGAAGAGATTCTTTTACTGGAGCAGAAGAAAAAATGAGAGCTGAAGAAAACAGCAAAAGGCAGTAAAATCCCTTGAAAGGGATATTTCAGTAGAAAACAGATACTTCTCTTAGACAAGACTAGTGCTCAATTACTGAATTATGGAGATTAACTATCACATTAAATGAATAGTAATATATAATTACAGTAAAGAAACCATGATTTCATGGTCTCAAAGATTTTCTACTGTGACAAGTTCCTCTTTTTCTCTCTGGGCATCTCCATGTTCACCTGTTCCCAGTAGTCTGAAGGCACCAGAGGAATGTATGGCCCCAGTTAGGGCTTGTAATTGAAAACAATTAATCAATTAAACCAAGCAGCTAAATTGCTTTGTGAGAAGGGAGGACCCATCTGTGAGATAAAAAGGGTTGTAGGTATCTGTAACTCTTGGGAAATTTTTTACTTTAGATTTGTGTACTTGAATTCATCCTCTCTTAGATGTGATAGAGTGACATAGAATATTTCAGTTGGAAGAGGCCTACAACAATTATCTCTCTTGCACTGGTAATGTAAAGATTTAAGGGGTTTCATGAACCTTAACTTAAAGCAAAGTGGTGGGTGTCATAGAAGCCAGTGAGAAAGTGAATTATGAGGACCTAAGTGGTTCAACTCCTTATGAGTTTTCTCTCAGACCTGTGTGTGTAATTGCATGGTAAAGCTTATTTGTCAGCAAGCAACACAAGGATGAAAAGAGGAAGAAATGGTTGCCTAGGAATCAAAAGATATAAAGGAAAAAAAATTTAAAAACAGAAGGGGGACAAACATACGCAGTAGAAAATACCAAATAACATAGAAGTAATTTTTAAACTTTCCTCTTTGCACCCTTCCTTAGGATTTCCGCTCTGCCCACGCCTCTGCCAGTGGTCTATGAGACACTTGTTTTCTGATAAAGAGGAAGGAAAAGCCACCAGCTGTTGTCCCAGATGCTTGGTGACAGAGTGAACCCAGGCAGGGAAGTGTTCCTGACTTACCCCAGCTTGGGAAAAGCGGGTCAGTCTGGCTGGAGAGGGGGCAGCTGTGAAGGAAGGATGGGAATGATGCTGCGAGCAGCCGTGCTCCTGGGTTCCCTTCTCCACTGCGGCGGTGAGTCTGGGCTGGGCACGGGCCCCTGCCCTGCAGTGTCTGTGTGTGCTTGGCAGGGGTGACTGTTTTGGGAAGTGTTTAGCTTCAGTCCTCAGAGTGAGAGAAATGTACTGGGACAAAGGCAATTTTTACAGGAAAAAGAGTTTTCAGTTTCTTTACCCAGTGGTTTAAGTTTTTCATGTTTGGCTTAGACTGAGAGAATGGTGTGTTTCAGAAAAACAAAATAGGCAGTGGAGGAGGGAAGTCCTTGCTATTCCTCAGAAGCCCCAAGGGGATGTCTAGAGCAGACACTGGCTGCAACCTGGACTTCAAACCATCTCCTTCCCTCAAGCCTAAGTTATCCAATAACTCTGATCCTGTGCTCTACTCAGTGCTGGTGGTGGCAGGAAAGCATCAGGCTGCACCCTGGCCATCAGCCACCTCCTGTCCTCATGCCACACTGATTTTTGGATAACCCACCCCTGAGCAGCCCAACCCTCACACTCCCCACTGCTGTGTTTCTCACCTGGTGGGTTCTCTTTGCCAATGCTCTTGCCATGGCTTCACCACCTGTGAGCTGCCTTCACCCTGGCTGTTCTGTGGCTTAACTTTCATCTTCCTTTCTTCCTGCAGCTTTTCTGGACCTGAGTGGCCCCAGTGAGGTCAAAGGGGTCTGGAAGGAGTCTATCACTCTGCCTTGTGCCTATGTGCCGGTGAAGGACCTCGTGCAGCAAACCCTCACCTGGACTGTGGTACATAACAAGGGTTCAGGCACCATCTTTCGGAGGGATGACGCCGGGGACCATGTTCTCCTGTCTGAGTACAGGAACAGAGTCAGCATCCCAAAGGATGCCCCAGGAAATGTGTCTCTCCTCATCCTGAACCTGGAGATCTCTGACAGAGGGACCTACACTTGCCAGGTCACCTGGAGAGACAGCAATAACAGCCTGATAGCAAAGGAGATCACTACCAGTTTGGAGGTTGTTAAAGGTAAATCGAAGAAGGAGGCTGCTTCAGGTGGGGAAGGCTTTTGGGAATTAGACAGAGCAGGTAGGCAGTGACTGTGTGCTTGCACGCAGAAGCATTTTTCTGATCAATGTCAGCCTCCAGCAAGAAACAGAAAATAGGTCAGAGAGAAATTCTGCCCAGGACACAGCACCCTGCAGCTCGGGGAGGACCTGTGGCTCCTCAAGGACCAGTTCACCCCGGGCTCCATCTGTAGCCAAAGGCTCAATGTTTCTCTGTGGCACACAGCAGTGGGGATACTGTATTGCTGTTCTTTGACTAAACCTCACCAGCATGTGCTTGCCCTCTGTCTGCCCAGTGTGGGAGGTTTACAGAGGCTGCAGGACAGGGGGACCGTCCCCAGCAGAGCCAGGCCTCCATGACCTGGGCCCCTGTGCTTTGTGTTCCAGTGGCAGCCACCAAGCCCATCATCCGAGCTGCGGAGCCGGGGCTGACGCTGCCGGCCGGAGCCAGCACCAGGCTGACCTGCGAGGCCGGCGGGTCCCCTCCCATCAGCTACCGCTGGTTCCGCAGCGCCCCGGCGGGCACGGCCGAGCTGCTGAGCAGCGGGCCCGAGCTGGCCTGGCCCAGCCTGCGGCCCTCGGACAGCGGCACGTACTTCTGCGAGGCCCAGAACAGGGCCGGGGCCGGCGCCGTGCAGCGCAGCGATGCCGTGCGGCTGACGGTGACAGGTGAGAGCCGCGGCACGGCCCCGGGAGAAATCCCTCTGCAGGGCGAGCCGGCAGCATCCTCCTCCCTGCCCGGAGAGAAGGAAATGCCAAACGCCTTCAGCACCCGCACACGGCCCTCCCCGCTGGCTCCAGTCTGTGTCCTGCTTCATTTCCTCCAGTCAGTTTCCTCCTCTCTCAGGAACTGCTCTTTTCTGATGCAAAAAAGGACTTCTACTTCAAACAGCTTTTATTTATTCCTCTGTGGGTTTTCTGAAGTTCTCTAAGGCTGCCCACTGCAGTTCAGCAAGTTTAGACAAGGAGTCGTGGCTTTATTTTGAGAACAAGGAACAAGTGAGTGGTAATTCAGTGGCAGAACAAACCAGACTGGCCTTTGCTCCCCAGCACCAGCTGCGTGTCTCAGGAGACACACTGCACCTCACACACGCCAGGCTCTGAAACATCTTCCTTCCCTCAGTTTCCAATCCACAGAGGGTTTATATGTTGTTCTTTGTAGAAGAGACTGTACGTGTCTTTGGACTGCTGAAAATGCCATTTCCTAAATTGCAGATTATATGTGATGGGATGTTCTGGGTTTGGTTCTCCTCTAAAGGGTTTTTTTGCTTGTTATCTGATCCTGAATTGGAAGCTGCTTAGGGGAGGCAGATCTGGTGTCTCCAGTGGCAGACACAAGGGATGCAAAAGCTTCCTCAGACCCAACTGAAAACATATACTTGACCAGGGACAGCAGTTTTGAGGGAGGGCTTGTGGTTTCCCATTTGCTTTTTGTGGCATGTGGGAATTTTTGCCTGGACTAGAGCAGATCTGCCTGTGGAAACTTTCTATGGTTGGATTATGCTTCATTTGGATTTATGGTGCCCCAGCAATCACATGGGGATTGTGGAAGCTGGTGTCAGTCACTGGAAGCTGAGGGAAGATGTTGACAGGTGTTGATTGTTCTTGCAGAAAAGGCTCGAACAGAGCTGGTGTCTGGAGGCACCTCAGGAATCTCCTGGACTCCATGGGGTCCCACCACTACTGCAGGTGTGTGTGTGCAGACATACAAATGCAAACCTGACAGGTACCTGCTGTGTGTCTATGTAGTTTTTTTATACATATATATACTATATATTGTATCCAGCCAGTAACTATATGGTACTACATGAACTCTCTCTATATTATAGTGTATATATAGTGCTCATTTCTGCAGTTTGCCTGTTTTCATTGCCTTGTAGAGGGGCTGGAGGCATTCTCTTCTGATCCTCGAATCCCAGATCTCCTAGTGCTAAAATGAGGGCTGGAAATGCACTGTCAGACTTTAACTCATGTTTGTTTTCCAGATCTGCCCATAACAGCAACAACTCCTGAGAGTGGTATTGGACATCCAGGGAAGAATGAAACAATTCGTGGTAAGTAAGAGCAAAACCGAGCTGAGAAGAAGATTAAGGACTCAAACCAGATGCTCTGTAGTCAAAATTAGTATTCTGCCTTTTTAGCTGCAAATTGCATTAAGATCTGTTCTCAAAGGACCCAGATAATTCCTGGTGACACCTCAAAAGGCTCTGGATGTTTTTATGGAAGAATGACCAAAAAAAAAAGTTGATATATGGTGCACACATTTATGTGTTGCTGTGTTCCTGAGCAGTCAGTGCATTTTTATCTTGGACTGTCAAAGCTGAAACAGCAGAAAAGCCTCAGTGAGTGCCTTGAGCAGGTCTGCAGATTCTCCAGCTTTGCGGCATTGGGACAGGTTTAGACACTTTCCAAACAGAGCTGAGCAGCACCCCTGAATGGAAAGCTTCACTTCCTGATATGCAGTGCAATTACCCTGCCCAGCTCACATCCCTAGTCACCTCAGCATGAGATGGACGCTGTCTGTAGAGCTGTGGTCCCTTGGTGAGGTGTACACAGTGCTGGGTCACACAACACCCACTCAGAGCCTCAGGACCAAGGCTCTGTGGGGACACAACCCCACATGCTCAGGCAGGGCTGACTGTTTCTGTCCTCAGGGACATGGTAAATGTCATGTTCCTGCTGCTGCTGTCACTTAGGAGGGCTCCTCTGTCTGAAAATCCTCTGTTGTATTGTTTTAGATTTCCAGAGGACTGGCTTGTCCCTGTACGTGGTCATCCTGATTGCTCTGGTGTGTGGTGCTGTGGTTTTCCTTGTCATCTCTCTTATCACTTGCATTAGAAAGCCCAAAGATGGTGAGTAGAATGTTCTGGAGAACCTGAATGTTTTACACATGCCCAGCATGGCTTTTCCTTTGATGGGTTCTGGGGCCTGGAGCAGAGCTTGCAGCCACCAGCTGCAGCTCTGGCACCTGCATTGTGCAGGCAGTAGATGACACAGATGGTGGAAGGTCCAAAGAGGCAGAGAAGTCCTTGCAGTCAGGAGAGTCTTCCAGGAACAAGCCATGGGGTTGGGGCAGCAGCGGCCCTGGTGCTCCTCAGCTTCCCCCTCTCATCCCTGCCCTGGCTCTGGGGCAGCTCAGCCCCTGCCCTGCAGCCCATCCCAAGATGTGTGGCTTTGGGATGGTTGTTTCTCACTGCTCCTCACAGACATCCCAGGGCTCAGACTCTCCTGCTTGGCCAGGCTCATTGTCCCAAATCTTTAAAGTCCCTGGCAGAGGGTTCATCCTGTCCTGTTGCTGGGGAGTGCCTTTGGCAGCAGTTGCTGTTCAGTAGTTCCTGTAGTTGGCACCCAGGAGGGAAGAGGTCATTGTCAATTCTCCCTATTCCATATGAATTTGTTTCCTCTCTGGTCTTTGGTCACAGGATCCATTCACTGAATGCCTCTGTCTCTCCTGCACTGCCACCACAAATCCCCTTGACCAAGAGTTCCTGGAAGCCCCTCCTCACTGGCAGTGCAGGGAGCACACAGGTGTGCTCTGGGGTTTGAGATCCCACAAACTTCATTTTCTCCTTTGTTTCGCTAATGATCTTATGACTCCATGCTACCAATTAATAATAAAATTGTCAAATAGTTCTTTTGCCATTTTTCTTATTTTTATCCTTATTTTTTTAAAGGAATCCAGAATAGTCACTTTCAAAACTGTTCTTTATTGAACTTCTAATGAATAGGGAAACTGGGGAGTTCTAGTTTCTACCCTCAGCTTTATCTTTGACATTGGGTCAAAATAACCCAGTTGTGTGATGGCTGGGTTGGTTTTGTTTTCTTGGACTGAATCCTGGGAAACTGAGTCATCACCCACCTGACATGATATCCAAGGCTGTTATTTTTGTTCTGCCTTCAGAGGTCATTTTCTTAAACCAAGAAGATAAACAAAGAAATTATTTTTTTTAAAAGAATTTAAATGCAAGTTATTGATACAAATTCTGATTTTTCTTTTCCAGCTCAAGTCTATGATGTAAAATTGTGAGTATAATCCTTTATCTGGCACATTGATGACTCCTGGGGGGATGTATCAGAGCAAAAATAAAGGCACTGCTATTAGCTGTCATAATGAAAACCCCCTTAAGCAGTCTGGGTGAAGAGATTCACAGTTAGCTCAACAGCACATTATAGGATGGCTTGTGGGCTTTCCATGGCAACAAAGAATGTGGGAAGAAAGATCTTTTTCATGGCAATGTCAGAATTGTAGAAGTGAGCAAGCACTGCTTATTGACTGAAGATGACTGCCAAGGCTAAATTCTCTGCGTTTTTTGTAGGCTAAATTCCCAGTGTTTTTTCAAATGCAAAGGGAAGGAACTCCCCTTCTAGAGACCATTTATCCTCAAAACATACCTGGCTGAATTTGCTTCTAACCATAGCTAGGAGGGAAGTTATAGCTATTTCTAAACTCAGATTTCACATCCTGATCTAACTGTAACCTGTGGAAGTTTTACTGGAAAGCCTGATAATCTGGTCAAAACATAGAAGGAGAGCCACTTCTCTAGGTACAAAGTGCTGCTGACTTGAGTATTGCAGTGGGATGTGCCAGCATCCCAGTGCTAGGCTTCCCCAGCACTGTGTAAGGCAGCAGTTTAAGTAACATTTGAACTCTGAGCAAGGGAACAAATGCTGTGATGACATTTATCCTCAGAGGACCTATCTTTCTTTACAAAATATTAGATACCATAAGCCAGACAGTGGATGTGGGCTGCTTGCAGTTCTCAATTTACCCTTCTTTCAATACTTTTTATAAATATTTATTTCTCTTCAGCAATTATCTCACTGTGCCAGTGCAAGAAATTGTGGTAATCTTTTAATTGCTTGTACGCCCTTTGCTGCCTTTCCCTGGAAAATTCCTCAGGGTTGGAAGTGATGCTGCTACAATGCCCAAGGTTTTTCTGCCACCAGAAAGCAAAGGACAGAATCCTCTCCTTCAGAATACTGCCATAGCCCAGTGGCCCGAGTTTATATGGGTTTGAGTCAGACCATAATACTTTCAAAATTCTGATGGTTGGAGATGCTTTGTTTACTCTGGTTGCTATTCTTTTTTATTTCAGCCATAACATGAAAGCAGCAGCTTCTTCAAGCACAGGTCATTATGAGGAACCCATCTCTGCCACTGAAAACAGCTATGTGATACAGCTTGGGGAAAACAAAGTCCCTGAAGAAGTAAATAATGTGTCTGACTCTGTTGCAAACCCTCAGGAATCTGAGTATGAAGTAGGGGACACTTCCTGAAAACCAACAATGCTCTGCAGACACCAGTCCTGGGGAGCACCTTCACCCAGACAAAATTCATATTTATTTTCCCTTTTGCCCCTGGGTTGGACAAGCAGTGGTTGCTCTCTCTTGACAGTCCCTGCAGTGAAATATGCAGGAACTCCAGTTACAGACTGCTGTATAGAATTTCTGATTTTGTTTTCCTTGATTCCCTTTCACCACCTCTATCCAAGAAAGCCCTTTGAATGCTGCAGCAGGCTAGGAGCACTGTACTGAACTTACTGCTTTATCTGGCCAAAAGAACCGGTGTTTCCAGCCTTTGTGTGGTGGAGGAGAGCCAGCACTGAGGGCTGCTCAGCATCCCCATCCCTGTGGGTGAGCAGGGCAGGATGTGGTTAACTTGGGCATCAATGGCTCTTCTCCTGCCCACCTGATGCTGTACAGATTTGATAGAAGAGAGATTTTACAGAAACAATGAAAGGCAGATTAAAGCCAAGAGAAACTCAGGAACCTGCCACACTAGAGGAAGCAGGAATGTCCCCTGCTGTCCTTGTGCTGCCCTTCATCCCTCTCCACAGCACTGCAGTGAGGTCTGGGCACACTGGCCACAGCTCTGGTACTGCAACCCAGCACATTCTTTCTGAGCTCGTGTTCTCTGTCCTCTCTTCAAATGTATGATGGATATTTGAAAGGAATTAGGTACTTTTCCATAAATTTGTGGTAGGATTGTTTACACATGCCTCATATATTTTGCTGTGTGCATTTCTGCACAACTGGCTTATTTTGGAATGCCAGCAAGCCACTCATAGCCCCTTACTAGATACTGAAAAAGTACTTTCCTCCCAGCTTAAAAGGCCTGAAGAGTAAGTTATGAATAATTTCTACTGGCCTGAGTAAATCGATTATGCAGAGTTATGGAGGGACCGTTTTATAATGAACAGGGCAATCCTCTGTATCCCACTAAAGGCCATGCAGGCAGATCTAAAACGGAGGGAGTGACCCAAGAGATGAGCAAGACACTGGTAACACAGGCACAGGATTAATGGGCCCCCAGCTGTGCTGCTCACACTCAGGACAGCTCTGCATCTGCAGGTCTCTGAGCATCAGTTCAAAACTCACCAGAATTCAAAGGGAGCGTGAGGTGCTCATAGAAAGGTATTCCAGTCAAAAAACATGATTGTGGTAGTGAAAGCCCATGGAATGTTGCTACCTTACGTGTGCATGTTGGCCTCATCTTGGGTTTAGCAGAGCAAGAAAAGTTACTGAGAAAGATTGTAAAGAATAATTGTCAGTACAAAGCCACATCTGTGCAAACCATCTCTTGGAAAAAAAAGAAGAAACAAATGAGCAAAGAATGCCTATGGGGGTCACGGCTGAAAAGGTGAAGTGACTATTTGTTTCAGTTTCTCTGAAAAGGATGCAGAAATTAGTGATAATTATCTGGTAGCACTTTCTAAGGGCAAGGAAGAGTACTGCTTTGTATGCAACACAGAAATAAATGTGGAACACTGTGCTGCTCACCCAGGGCTGAGAGCCAGAGGTCTAATGGGAAATTATAGGAATTAATGATTAAAAAGTTCATCAGAATGCACAAACTACCAGGCACACTGTCCAGGCACTTATCAGTGACCTTATACTTTCTCCTGTGCTACAAGTTTTAGTTCTCTTCGTTAAGAATGTCAGGGGAGGAGGGAGCATGAGGGAAGGCAGAGATACAGAGGGTGTCCCACTGAGGGACAGGGTGGTCAGTCACACGGGGGTCTGAGCTCTCACTGCTGAAACCACATGGGTAAGGGCTGCAAGGAATCCCACAGCTTGCCCCAAAACCACTCAATACCAGCTGCACTGCAAAGTCATGGGCAATGCAGCCCTCCCAATGTGGTTAAACCGCAATGTTATCCTGGCTGGACAGCCAGCACCAGGAGCTGATGATATTAAATACAGCTGTTGTAAGGCAAGCTCATGAAACTCAAAATAAATCCATGAATTACGGTCTCCATGTGTTTTGTGTCTGCTTGCACTGTGGGACAGCTGGACAGGGTCCAGGTCCTGACTTGGTCTGGGGTGTACCTGGGCAGAAGAGCAGCTGCTGTGCACCCTGTGCAGTGGCAGAGGATGAGCTGAAGTCACAGCAGTTTTGTTTAGCAAACCCAGAGCTCAGCCAGCCTCTGCAGAGCACTGAGGAGGAACTGGGCAGTCTGAAAAGAGCATCAGGTGGTGCTGAGACTCCAGAGAGCACCGGCAGTGACGTGTGTGGTGGCTGCAGGTAAGGGACATCTGTACTGCTCTGATGGCTGGGGGCGTGCAGCCCACCTGCAGCACCAGGAAAGAAACGGGAACTCAGAAGACATCGTACACATGGGTCACTTTCTTGGAATCAGCAGCTGTTGACAAGGATTTGGCCAAAATAAGAGCAACCCAGAACTAATGTCATTGACCTGGAAAATCCTGGGAAGGGAAGTGAGTTTTTCAGAGAGAGCACTTGTACATCGTGTTTCTGTCACACAAGGTTTAAGGGAAAATGCTGATTTACACTAATTTCTATTTCTTTAAGTGGAACAAGATTATGTTTTGATGAGTGATTATATGATTATTTGATGTGACAGAACTGTGGTGTGAATGGCTGGGGGGAGGTCACACAATCAGCTTCTGAGGGACATCCAAAAAGTACTTAGTAAAATATACTCTGTTGAGTCAGATCTATAAGTTAACTATGGCTGGACTAAACAAGAAAGTCTCAAGTAAAACATGGGGTTTTTTTGAGTGCATATGGTTGAAAAAGAGCACTTAAAGGCCTTTCTTCTTAGGTTATCTACTTTTTGGTCATTTGCTCATAGTTGGGTACTGAATTTCATCTCCTTGAACGCTAAGGATCTTATTTATCACCCGAAAAAATGGTAGCAAACTTCTCTGGCCACTGGCAAACTTTGTCAGAAGATGAATGTAAGATGTAGGCTCAGCAAAGCTGGTCCCTATGAACAGGGTCTGAGTGACCATCTGTGCTCAGGTTTGGGGACATGGGGACTTTACTCTGCATCTGTAGTTAGCCCAAGATGAGTAGCAGAAATGGCAGAACAACAAGTGCCTGAGCTGTGGTACTTGAAGAAATGACACTTGAGAGAGTGTCCTGTCCTGTGTGTGGGAGGAAGGTGGGTACCTGTGGGGACAGGCTGCAGCGTGCCTCACGCTGCATTTTAATAAACCAGGTAGCTAGCCAACAAGTCTGAGACTTTGAAGGCTTTTTCTTCTTGTGTTCAGATACAAAACTATGAGAAGTCCTTTCAGTAAGGAAAAAATGGCCTGTGTGACTCAGGGAGCTGTGTCTGTGTCCAGGGAGAGAAATATGTCATGTACATCACATTTGGGGAACTACAGTTATTCATGTCTGCTTTAGTTAAATAGTGCCTTTTTTTTTTTTTTCTTTTTTTTTTTTTTTTTTCTTAATCCTGCATAATTAGAGCCTCAGGAAGTCTTGCACATCCGGTTCAAAAAATAATCCTATCAGCAGTTTTAGCTTGGGTTTTCAACTTCTTCCAGGGTGTGTTCCCCAAAACCCAGCTTCTCTTAAACTGTTTTGTGTAGGAGACTGTTTGGGACAAGGCTTTACTGCCAGTCATGGATCAGGGTGTGGAAAGGGTTGGGTTTTAATCACCTCTATGAAAGTGGACACATTTTCCTCTCTGAGTGACACAGCTAGCAACTTTTACAAGCACTTTTCTGTTTGCTTGCTTGCTTTTAGGCAAGACTCAAACATTGCCAAAATCTTCTCAGGGGCAGCATGGGCAGATGGATACAGGCCATGTGCACTGATACTCCACTGGCAACTGCAGCAAAGATGTCAAGAAGAAAAGTCAGCAAAAATCAAGTTTCAATGTCTTACATAGATATGCTTTGCAAGAATGGGTGTGGCTGCCTCCATCATCTTCCTCAGCAGGATGGCAGCTGGTGGCAGGGCTCTCAGAGCTCTGGATGAATTTGTTGCATCAGGTCTTGGAGCACAACATTTATTTTTTGCTCCAGACAAGTTCCACCACAGCGATCAGCAGGGTGGAACTTGGAATCACAGTCAGCAAGGGCCCCACAGGTGGGCATGCCTCTGCCTGGGACTGAAATGAGATCTATGAGTTCTAATAGTTTACTGACTCTGAGAAAATGAAGATAATTTCCAGCTCTCCTTACCCTAGCAGAGAGGGAATGAACTGTTACTGACATGGAGCAGCACTTCAGAGATGGATTCAGCTGCAAGGTGAATGTTTCAGCCCAAGCAGACAGGTATTTGTTGTGATGGGACAAGGCTGTGGCAAAACCATCCCATTTACCTTTCTCTCCCAGTCCCAGTAGAAAACAGCTCCCTGTCCCTCAGACACATCTGCCAAAGATTCTGTTTTCCTGGTGCAGCAGAACCATATACTAAGGCATGGCTATGGAATAAATCCCAAAAAGTTGCTCTACTATTAAACCCCTGTAACAGAATTCACTAGGTCAGTAGATTTGCTTTTATACATGTTTCTTATATTTCTGTAAATCCTTCTCCTTCGGTAATAAATAATAAGCACTCATCAATCCTATGTATCACACCTAGATAATTCTTGGAAGTACTTTAAAAGATACCCTATAGTGCACACTCAGAATGTCCCTTGGCTGCCAGTCAGAAGTCACCTCCTTGGCAAACACAGCGTGTGCCTTCAGAACATGACTTTTGCCCATGAACTGGACTATTGCAGCAGAAATGTGAGCTGAGAGAGTCTGTGATGCTCAACATGACCTGGCAATGGACATTTGGAGTTCAAAAAGGCAGCTGGGTCCTGGGCTGCATCAAGAGAAGAGGATGGGGACGAGGAATGGGACTGGAAAGATCCATACAGCCTTTCGCCTTTCTTCACCCTTCACCTAACTCAGCAGTGAAACGGACTCGTGATGTTTCAGAAAGAGGATCCTTGATGACAAAGGACAGACTAAAGGGAAGTGTTCTTCACTTGCAATCTGGTCCCAGGAGGGTGGGAGTCTCTTGGGGAAAGATAAACCTGCACTTCTGGGAGAATGGGAGAAGTTGAGTGGATAGTGGTGTTTGTGATGACTTTCATCAGTTGCAACGGTGAGTAAATGCTTCAATGTATATGAAAAAAATTAGAGTACTAAGAGGATAGCAAAAATCTTTTGAATTTATAGCATCTTTTTTTTTTTTTTGTTATTGACAAGTCAATTAGAAAGTCTTTAGCTTATTGTATTAACCACAGAGCCTGAGAATTCATGAGAATTTCCTTTGGCATCAGATACAACGAGGTGGTTTCAAGAGTGCAGCAAATGGGGCAGTACTGGGAGAGTCAGCTTCACTGCCCCAAGGCAAGGGGAGAATACAGTTTTTTGGGACCCACTGTGGTGTCCAGCTCTAAAAACAGTCTTGGTGAAGATGGAATATGCATTCTAAATTTAATAACTCATTCTCTTTGTTCTGTTAGCATGGCCCTAGGAAGAAGAAGAGTTGTGAGACCAGGTGCCGGCACATTTGATTCCTCTTGGTCTCTTACTTAGTGACTCTCTGGTTGCATCAGGAAAGCTGGGACTGGAACGTGGGCTTCAGTTCCTATTCCCCTGAGTGAATATACCCTTTCTCAGGGCATGTAGGACACTGGCAGCAGCAGAGGATAGTTTTGGGAAATAAGAGAAAAGTGCTCTTACAAGTTGTATACAAAAGTACAGGATTGTTCCTGACATTTAGAAAATTGGGTTGAAATATATTCTCCATCTTGTCATAAAAAAACTTGAATCAGCTTTGCAGATTACAGGGATCTGCCTTTAAACCAACTTCTTGTGAGCTAAAGCTGCTGAATATAACCAGTGTCTTTCCAGGGATGGAAGCGGGGGAAGAATAAGGAGTATTGGGAGAGATGAGCCAAGTCAAATGAAATTCAGGTGATTTGTTACTTACAAGAGGCACTTCCCAGAGGAGATGTGGAACCATGGGCAGGCAGCTGGAGAAACTGGAAGAATGTGTGGAGAAAATCTTCCCACTTTTCTCCTGTGCCTATTTGAACATTTGGCAGGGTGCTGATCTGGGTCAGGTCTGAAGTTTCCCAAGGCTAAAACAAAAGGATAGGCTTTGGTCCACCATTCCTATTTCAGGTTCAGTACTGCAGGGAATATCTCTAAATGTTCCTGCTCACAAGGAGGCTCTCTGTACTGAGAAAGAATTAAGAATTGGCAAGTGCCCAGAGAGAAACACAATAAAAATAGACATGAGGTCAAGGCAGCTGTTCACTTCCCCATGCTTGATGATGTGGGCTGGCTTAGTGCTGTGGTTACAGCACATCTGAGACCTGACCTCATGCTAGCACCTACTGCCCAGTGAGTCCTGTCTATCCGGAGGAGGTTTCCCTCCTCTGCTGCATTCTCATTTCTTCCCTTCCACTGCTGTTCTCCACAGCCCTCCTGGATCTGTCTAGTGTCCACCAGGTCACGGGCACATGGATGGGATCTGCCACTGTACCGTGTACCTATGTGCCTTCAGAAGGGTTCACGCAGCAAACGCTCAGATGGAGCATTGAGCGGGACTCCAGCATCGCTACCATCTTCCAGAGGGACAGCTCTGGTGACCACATCTTGCTGTCTAAATTCCGAGGCCGAGTCAGTGTCCCAAAGCACAACCCAGGGGATGCCTCACTCCTCATTCAGAACCTTGAAATGCTTGACAGTGGACACTACACTTGTCAAATCATCTGGAGGTCTACAGATAACAGCTTGGTAACAAAAGAGGTGACCACTACAGTTAAAGTTGTCAAAGGTAAATCCAGCAGTAAAGTCCTGCTCTTGTGCAGCCAGGTTAAACCAAAAGAAGGTAGGGGGGACCAATGTTGGTGCGAATAGTCTTTCACACCACATTAGGCTGGGGGTTGAAGCTTCTGCCTCCCTTGCTGTGTTGGTTAGCCTTCTCAACACATGGAGGGGTAGGAATAAACTGGGGAAGGGAGCCAGTTAATGTATGGCTCAGGCTGGAT